ACTCAGCCATTTCAATGCTAAATTCTATGCTAATTCCTTTGTCAAGGCGCTTTGTTTCTTCTCACACAGCTTAAAGGTCGCGATCTGAGCATGGCTTTTTCACTCCAGCGCTGTCCTCCAGACAGTCTCGTCCCTTCACCTGAAGGCCGCTTGTGTTGTGGCCGAAACGTCGTGAGAATATTATTGTGTTATTTTATCAATTTATTATTTTATTATCATTCTACGTGACTTTACCGAAAGAACCAAAGAAGACCTGCATAACTTCATACAATTAATTGTCTTATTCCGATTGATGATACAACCCTGGGCAACGAAGCTAAGCCTAATTATCATAACTACCAACATTAGCATAATCGCAAACATTTGCATAAATTAATTCAATTATAATTTATGCACGTAATTACATCAATTAACGTAATTTTAGACAATTACGCATTTTTCCAAATTTCATTTAAATTTTATTCTTTTCATCAAAATTTTCATACCCCGCATATACAACAGTGCGACACAAACATTCTGGAGAGGATGACACGTCCAGAAGGACCTGATATGTGGGTTAAGAGGAATAACCTGGAGAGAGAGAAGCAACGAAGAGCACGCCGTGTGGTCCATGTAATCGGCCGTGGACTACGGAGCTTGCTACCTGCCCGAGTAGTCTCTGAATCGTAAAAATCAAACCGACTGTGTGTATTTACCGTGCTCTGTCAATCCGCCGCTGGATGATGAGTGCCTCCCCGGGCGAGCGGTGTGCGTCGCGGGGTTCATCTGGCCATGCTGTGTCAGTGCGGGTCGGTGGAGCACGGGGGGGGGGGGGGGGCACATCAGTGCTGGGTTTCCCCCTCGCATTACGCGGTAGATGTATTCCAAATTTTAAAAAGGCGATGAAGTGAATCGCGTTAAACGGAGCCACATTTGGTTTAACACGTAGTAGGCTTTCGTGAGCAATTATTATCCATAACAGTTTTTTTTGTTAGATCGCGTAAATATAAATGTGTCATGAAACCCGCCACCACCCAATACAGCCCAATTAGTAAGGTTTGTGATGTAAACAAAATGTGCCAATTCGTTACTAGTTCAGCACACTGGTTGTGTGTTGGAGAGTAAACACACAACATTTACTTTGAGGACCGTGACCTTTCGCCGGTAATTACAACCAGCCTCATCAGGCAACAGCCAGAGTTGCCATATTTACGTTTAAAAGAGAGGAATGTTTCACAACCTCTGCTGCTGCCCCGAACCAGACGCACTTTTACCACCCCTATGTGCAAAATGAAACAACCGCCTAACACGGTCAAAATTAAATATAATAAAGTTATAAAATATAATTGGAGCACAGAAAAACTATTAAAATGCTCACTTTAATATGCTGAGTGAGAGAGAGAGACACACACATACACACGAGTCTACTCCCCAAGAGAAGGAACACGCAACCACAAGCCATGGTGCTGGTGGGCATGGTGAGTGGTGGTTGTATAGCGGTTAAGGCACTGCGCTACGAACCTGGCAGAACCCCGAGTTCGATTCCCGTTACACGACCACCAACACCTAACATCTAAACTGGTCCTTGGCCTCCCGTAGGTCGACTCAGCCTCAAATGAGTACCTGGTGCGATGTGTAAACATCGACACTGGGGGGGGTTAAGGCGGTTGGGCATGGTGCTAGCCACTCACCCCCTCGTGTGCCGTGCCGGCCTTCATAGGTGCTCGCTAACAGTACTTGCTCCTATAGTCTGTTAAGGCTACATGGAGGATCTTTGTCTTTGTCTCTGGTGGTCTTGATGGTGTGAGGGTCGTCTGGGTTCAGACTCGACATCCACAGGCAGGGTGACATCCAGCGGAGGGTGCACATGCACGGGGCTGGCATCACCAGACAGCATGAATGGAGGGGGGTGTGGTGGAGGTGCTGCAGGCATCTGGTGCAAGAGAGGCACCAGGATCGATGGTGCAGATGGAAGGACCAACAGGATCGATGGTGGAGGTGGAAGGAGCAGTAAGATCGATGGAAGTGGAAGGAGCAGCAGGATCGATGGTGGAGTTGGAAGGACCCACAGGATCGATGGTTTAGGTAGAAGGACCAGCAGGATCTATGGTGGAAGGACCAACGTTTCTGTGAAAATGCCTTCTTGTACGGAGCAAGGACATGAGTTCAAAGCACGCTTGATCTGTAGGCTCCCCTCTAGATTAGGGTCTCCATATCCATGGCAGTTTGAGCAAAGAGATTCAGCCCGAGTTCGAAAGTCTGTTAACTTCTTCAAAGTCATGTCCTTGACAATGAGGATCACACCTCTTGCTCCTCCTGCGCTTCTTCTTCGTAATCATCAACCGCAGCATATTGACACCAAGTCATCAACACTCAATTCCCACATTGTGGATATCGCCGAGTTCCAAGACGTCCGCTCACCTCCCCCTCCTAACTCCCCATCCAAGGTGGACAGCATCTTGCACAGCTGTTGCACATTTTGGATAAGCCCCTGAAGAAATTCGCAGCACTCCTTCCCGAACAGAGTTTCTGAGCACAATTCATGGTAGATTGCTTAGATTCATCCCACGAGGATGAGGGCATGCAATCTTGTTGCAGGCCTGCCTGATACATTAGCATCCTCGAGCAGCTGGCAAGATGGTGCACCTGAATAGGCCTTAAGTGTGATTACAAGCTCCCTGATGTACGCATGCATGTTTAACTTATTTGGCACCATTTTTATTTAAAGCTTTCGTGAGTAATTCATATTCTTAGCTCTTTCGGTAAAGTCACGTAGAATGAGAATAAAATAATAAATTGATAAAATAAAATAACACAATATTCTCACCACGTTTCGGCCACAACACAAGCGGCCTTGTTGTGGCCGAAACATCGTGAGAATATTATTGTGTTATTTTATTTTATCAATTTATTATTTTATTCTCATTCTACGTGACTTTACCGAAAGAACCAAAGAAGATGAATCCTTGCAGTCACAAAAGCTTTAAATCGAAATTTCTTTCGGTAAAGTCACGTTGAAGGGAAACAATAAAATAATAAAATATATATAAAACAATAAAAATTCTCACGACGTTTCGACCATAACACAAACGGTCGTCATCAGGTGATGACATCAGGTGATGACGACCGTGATGACGACCGTTTGTGTTATGGTCGAAACGTCGTGAGAATTTTTGTTTTATATATATTTTATTATTTTATTGTTTCCCTTCAACGTGACTTTACCGAAAGAGCTAAGAATATTATTTGGCACCGTTCGTAGCCAACCGTGTTAATCGGAGGTGCAGTGTGTGTACGTATGTTGAACTTCTTTCGTACCATACGTAGCCATGTTTAAGATCAAGAGCCTGAGGTAGCGATGTCGTGTTGGTGAGAAGGAACAAGACGCTCACATTAGGGTTTATGTTCGCTAAGTGTTTCGGGTAACCAGGCGCACTGTCAAGGATGAGCAACATTTCAAAAGCAAGATTCTCCTTGCTGCAGTACCGCTCCGTTTCCACCCAAAAATGTTGAGTGAACCAGTTCCTCAATGATTTGTTCCATAATCCACGCCTTCTCTTTTGCAGTCCAGTGTACTGAACAACATGTTTCTGCTCAGCACTCTTAATGCACATGGGTTGATAAACCGGCACCGGCTTTCACTTGAAATCATATCGCCACGGTGGCGAGGAGATGTTAACAGCCTCGCCTGGTATACAGGTCATGGGTTCTATCATGACCCTTATGCCTGCAGCCATGAAACAGGATGCACCCTTTTCTCCTGTATTTAATTAGGTCCCAGATGACATACGCTTCCAGAACAGCATGGTTTTCGTCCACATAAAAAATTACTTGCTTTGAGGCTGTAACCTTCAGCTTTGATGGCTTGCAGCTCCTCCGGAAACTTAGCAGCAGCTTCATTATATGCACTTGAATACACCTCCACTGAGCTCGACATTGCAGGAGAGACGGAGATGGGTAAAAAAATATGGAGTAAATACCCTTCTCGGCGGTCGAGAGGAGCAGAGGGAGGCCGTCACATCCGCGCATGATACTGCGAGTGTGGTATATGATTTGCAGTGTTCCTTGACACCCTCCATCACCCTCTCGCCTCCTCTCCTTACTCCTGGTCTTCACTTAACATGTTGGTTGTCTATTTCCATCCCCGTATGCCCCCCATATAAGCCTTAAATCTCCCTTCCCACAAATGACCCAAAGTCCCTGTTGGTTGGGGCAACGATCCCATCGCTACCCCCGCCCCAATTACATATGGCCTTGAATGCGCCAACGGACCCCCCCCGCCTCTCCCCCAGGATTCTCCGTTCCCCTCTAAAGACCTCCGATGTCGTCCTCTTGGCAAACAGCGGTATGTGTGTGAGTGTATACGTCACAAAACTCCTGATTTCGTTGGCGCTTTTTTTCGAAGGCGTGTTTTACGGTCGACTTGCCAAAGCTTGAACGCGCGGCCCGAGGAGAAGCCAACCGGTGCCTCGCCAGTTTTTAATAAGTTGACTGGCATAAGGATGGCCCAACAATAAGGACCCAACATTCGCCAACTGCTGGGATGTCATACCTATCAACCCCTTATCAGTGCCTACCTTATTACAGACCGATTCAGACATTATTGGCCACCCCGTGCCCTTATAAAGCTCAACGTTCATACCACAAGGGAGAAACACAAATAGACAAAAAATGTGCCCAGATTGAAACGGCTGTAACGCCGTATGAACCTGAAAACTCAAGTTCCCTGGACAAGAATACGGGCAAACCGTACCCCCCGATAATCGTCTGGTAATCGACTTATAATCCTATAGTAATCACCTGGTAATACCCTCTTAATGCCCTAATTATCCCGTGAACCTATAGCAATCCCCTGGTGATACCCGAGTAATCGTGGTAAATTAGTAATCCCGTTGTGATCCCCTAGTAATGCCCTAGTAATCCCGTTGTGATCCCCTAGTAATCCCCTAATAATCCCCTAGTAATCCCATTGTAATCCCCTAGTAATCCCATAGTAATCCCCTAGTAATCCCGTCGCTCACCCTGGGCCGCTCCGAGTCCGGGGAGGCCGCACAGCGTCAGCGCGGCCACCGCCACCACAAGCAGCAGCCGCCTCGTCGCCATGGCAGCGGCAGCAGCAGGAGCAGCAGCACAGCAGGGAGAGACAAACACGGCCGGGGGAAGAGGAGTAAAACGACTACCAACGCCCTGCAGGGAGAGACAAACACGGCGGGCACCCACAACAGCAACACCACCACCACGCAGCACAACACGGAAGTGGTCGTCACGAGCCCCGCGCCCTGGAGGCGACTTCCGTGTCGGTGACGTCACGCGCCGCATGCGCGTGCAGCAGGCTGCAAAGCAAACCCGGAATGAGACGTCCTCTGAAGATAATAATAATTATTATATGCATTGTTAATGCTTATATATTATATGCATTGTCAATGCATATAATATATTCAACGTTGAGATAATTTATGTATTAACAATGCATATAGTATAATATATGCATTACATGCATTGTCAATATATATGGTGTATATGGTAATATACTCATACGCTGTGAATGCATATGATATATGCATTGTCAATGTATATGCTGTGTATGATATATGCTGTATGATGGAAAAATAAGACTGCGTGTTTCCCCTTTTCTGGCAATAAAACAGGTGTTAATATGTTCACCAAAATCGATCCAAGTCATTCAGTCTGCATTAACCACACGTACTTGTGGCATAACATGCAAACAACACACACTCTGATAATATACGCATTGTCTTTGTAACTGATTAGCGTATACCAGAGGCATCCTTCTTTATGTCATTGTCTCACTACAAGTGTTAGACCAGAGAACGCCGAAAGGCGAACAGTACAAAGACAATGCAAGTATCAGAGCTCTTATAGCTCAGATTGAGCAGTTATATCTATGGGACCTTTTGTCAGTATCCAAGATGATTAATGCATATATTGTCAGAGCATGTTTTGTTTGCACGTTTTGCCACAAGTATGTGTTGGTTAATGCAGACTTGATGTAAAAGGTATCTTATTTTGGTGTTTGAACTTCTTAACACAACTGTTTTATTGCCAATGGTAAAAAAAAACTATTCTTTCTTTTCAAAATTTTGGATGAGAATTATTATTGATGTAGTGGAGTAAACGATACGCATAGGAATTGGCCACATACATTACATACAGACATACAAGGAGAGTGGGTCACATGAGGTCGAACAGGTGGTCGAGTCACGGGTGGCGTAAATAACCCGAAGTAATTAAGGGAGTCGTGGCACGAGGGCTGTGATTGGTCGAGAGGCTGTTAGCGTTAAGTGGCGGCGTCTCGAAGTCTGACCGTGGGACAGGTGCGAGTTGGCGGGAAAATGCCAGCGAGCCACGTGGCAATTAATTGAGGCTAATTGGAAAGGGGGATAAAACGCTAGGTGATTTGAACGGAGGGGGAGTTGTTGCTGGGCAGTTGTTGGCGAGAGGTGGAGGGATACGAAGAGGACAGCTGGAAATGTTAGGGAAGAATAGATAGAGAGCCGAACCCAAAAGACAGTAAATAGCGATAGGGAGAGTTAGCGTTAGTGGAGATAGATAGAGTCACTGTGTGTGAATAGACAGGCAAGTCACTGTGTGTGCGGAGACAGATAGAGTCACTGTGTGTGCGGAGATAGATAGAGTCACTGTGTGTGAATAGATAGATAGAGTCACTGTGTGTGAATAGACAGACAGGGCACTGTGTGTGCGGAGATAGAGGAAGTCACTGCGTCTGAAGAGATAGCGGCGACACTGTGTGTGAGGAGATAAAAGAAGAACCACTGTGTGTGGAAGGGAAGTCACTGCGTGTGAAGAGATAGCGGCGACACTGTGTGTGAGGAGATAGAGGAAGAACCACTGTGTGTGGAAGAGGATGCGCGGACGATGCTGAAGTGAATCGGAGTGTCCGAGTTGGCGGAGAGCGAAGAGGAGAATTACTGTGTGTACGGAACGATGGAATAAAAGTGACGGTGGAAGAAAGACGGTTGTCGTCCGAGTGAATTCACGGCACTACATTTGGTGTCAGAAAAAGTACGGAACACGCCACGATGTTAAGGAAAGCGGCAAAAAAAAGAAATGTGCCAGTGGACTCGGGCGGCGACAACGACAATTTTCAGCCCGGCCAGATGGCCGGCAGTACTCTGGACGGCAACAGCGGTTCGGGTGGTACTGAAGGCCCGGGATCGCCAGAGGATTGGCGAGTCCTCATGACCCAGTGGGAGGCCAGGATGGAGAAGTTGTCGGAGGAGTTCCAGAACTTCTTGACGGAGAACCGCATTCAACTACCCGTACCGGGTCCACCGCCGGAGGTTGCCGCTCAGCCGGAGCGGTTGGACGATTCTGACGACGAAGACGACCAGTCGGCGGGACCGCCACGACGGCTACACGTACAACAATTTGAGACCAAAGTGGGAGATTGGACGGCGTTCATACGAAGATTCTGTGTGGCTTACGAGTCCCTGAATTGGACGGAGAGTGCCGCGTTACGAGCACTGCCGACGGCATTGGATGATGACTCCTTGGCGACTTTTAACGGACTCCCTGCCGCTGTCAGAAAAACATTGGACGGTGCTATTGCGGCAATGAGGAAGGTCTACGAGCCGCGGTCGGTCGCCAAACGTCGATTTCAACAGAGGAAACGGGAGGCCACAGAGTCCCCCCTGGCATTCCGCAGCGCCTTGCTGGCCCTCGGCCAGGTTGCGTACCCGGCAATGGACGAGGAGGGCTGGGACTCCCTGCTGCAAGAGAAGATGTTACAGCTGGCGAAGGAACTGAAAGTCGTCTTGTCGCTCCCGGACAAGGATGATGACGACGATGTATCATCGTTGCTGATCGCCAGGAACATACAAGTCAACCTTGACATACGAGACGAACCAGCGACGGCGGTGGCGTAGCCGTCGCTGACGATCCCTGCCGGGGCTGCGAGCACGGTGGCAGTGGTGGTGGACGAGACGCCGCCGATGGCAGCGGCGGCCGGGGTGTCGACCGGAGAACGACAGCGTCGTCCCGGGGTATATGGAGACGGCGTGCATCGGACATGCTACGAGTGCGGGTGGAGGGGTCATCTCGCCCGCGACTGCTGGAGACGGAGAGGTGGTCCTCCGTGGGCGCCGAACTACTACAGCGGGCGGTTCCCCCAAGACCAAGGATCCCGGGTGAGTCGAGATGCATTCAATACACGGCCGCCCTATCCACATCACTCATCCGCGTCATCTCACCCGTATTCATCGGGTTCGGATAGTACGCATGGCGGGGATACATGGGGCGCATTGGTACATTGTGTGTTGGGGGCCGCGCCGGGATCGTCGGATATGATGGCATGTATTCAAGGTGTTATGGTACGGGTTATTGTAGATACCGGGGCGTCGGCAACTCTCATTTCGTTGCAAACTTTTCGGTCGCTGCCGACGTCGCCTGGATCGTTAGCGCCAGTGGAAGGGCCATGTGTAGCGGCAAACGGGGGTAGTTTGGGCATTATGGGCTGCATGGTTGCGACAATTCAAATTGGGGAGGTTATTGTGAAAGGAAGTGTTTTGGTTTCAACGGCCTTGGCGGTACCGTGTTTGTTGGGCACGGATTTCTTGCAAAAGATGCCAATTAAGATTTCAGTGGAAAAAGGTTGTTTGGAATTACCGTCGGGGAGATGTATGAAATTTTTGGGGACGCCTTCGAAATTTGCGGTGGCGAACGCTGTGGTGCAGGCCGTGGTGAGCCGCACCGTGCGCGTCCCGCTTGCATCGCAAATATTGGTACCGCTACGGTGAAAGAAGGAATTGCCTTGGGATGAGCTGCAGGAGGGAGTGCTGTTGACACCCTCAAATGCTGTATTGAGAATGCCCACCGTGGTAGGAGCTTTGACCATAATAGCAACATATTGTGATCCCTTCATTCAAATTGTAAACGCGGGGCACGAAGAGGTTGTTATTCAAGGGGGCACTACGTTGGCGCACGCAACAGGTGCGCCGGGTCCAAAAACAAAAACATGTTTTGCTACGGGACAGGATGAAATGTTGTCAAGGGATGAGGACGATCCGGAATGGTTAAGGGATCTTTACAAACAAAACCCAGAGTTATCGCCTGTGCAACGGTCGAGTTTGCATGCGTTGCTAGTGGAATTTAAGGATGTGTTCAGTTCAGGGAAATACGACGTGGGTCGAATGACGTTGTTGCAGTATCGTATTGACACGGGGAACGCACCCCCGATCAGGTTAAATTCGCATCGTGTAGGTCCTCTTGAGAAAGAATGTATTCGACGATCTGTTGATGAAATGCTAGATCAAGATATTATCGCCCCATCGTCCAGCCCGTGGGGAGCCCCTATTGTCCTCGTTAAAAAACGTGATGGAACCATGCGATTTTGTGTTGACTATCAGAAATTGAATAAAGTTTCGGTGGCGGAAGCGTACCCGCTTCCACGAATTGATGATTCACTGGACGCCCTGTCCGGCGCCAGAATCTTTTCGACCCTCGATTTGTTGTCGGGCTTTTGGCAATTGCCCCTGGATAAGGAGTCAAGACCTAAAACGGCATTTCGGACACCACAAGGATTGTATCAATTTAACGTGCTCCCGATGGGACTCCACTCAGCGCCGGCGACCTTCCAGCGATTAATGGAACTCGTGTTGTCGGGCCTGCAGTGGGAGTCATGCTTGATATATTTAGATGATGTGATTGTTTTCAGTAGGAATTTCGATGAACATTTGCAACGGCTGCGCGCCGTTTTTGGCAGAGTGCGGCGCGCCGGATTGAAATTTAAACCACAGAAGTGCCAATTGTTAAGAACATCGGTGAAGTATTTGGGGCACGTCGTTAGCGCGTCAGGAGTGGCCACTGATCTGGAAAAGACGAGTTGTGTGCGAACATGGCCGTTGCCGAAAACAGCAGGGGAAGTGCGTAGCTTTGTGGGCTTTGCGTCGTATTATCGGCGGTTCGTTAAGGATTTTGCCACGATTGCTCGACCATTGCATACGCTGACCGGGAAAGGTGTGAAGATTCAATGGGGGATTGCTGAACAAAAATCGTTTGAAGCGTTACGGGCCGCACTGGCGGACGCACCGCCGTTGGGATACCTGGATTTTACGAAGCGATTTGTACTTGACACGGATGCCTGTGATACGGGCATAGGCGCGGTTTTGTCACAAATGGTTGATGGCGTCGAGAGAGTGGTGGCATATGGCAGCCGGGTGTTATCGCCGGCGGAGCAAAAATACTGTGTGACGCGTAGGGAATTATTGGCGATTGTCCATTTTGTGCGCCAGTACCGACCGTATCTATACGGCA